CTAACCTCAAGCTCCTAACCTCAAGCTCCTAACCTCAAGCTCCTAACCCGAAGGGTGTGTTTGCATCCTTTGTGGATTCCCCGCCGCTAGATCAACAACACGAGTGAGGCCGAGAGGTGTGTTGATCCTGTAATGGGGTGACGTTCGCAATGAGAGGAGGAGGGCCAAACAAGAGGACACGAAGCATAATGCACTACTACGAGTGCTGCCCTGTTACCCCGAGCATCGCACAACGGACTCCCCAACGAGCCGCGCGCGCCAAACGCACGCACTACTCGCTCAAGCCCGTGCCAACACACGATCGCAAAGAAGCAAGCACCCCCCGTGGGGCTCGAACCCACGACCACTGGCTTAACCTATTTATACCGGCTAATGTTCTGGATTTTCCGGAACATTTATTATATGAATTAATATATACCGAAATATCAGTACTATATATCATGCATCAAGCCCTTTCGCGTGCCACGTAGCGCCATCAAGGAATTTCATTGGCTTTCATGGAGGGATGCTCTGTGCAAAAGCGGTTCAAGAAACTGTTCATTGAGATCTCCTGGCAAAACCGCTACGATGTTCAGCTGCTAGAGGTGTGTGTTCGCGGCAAAAACGACTATCATTCTTTCATTTACCAAAATTCTTCTTCGCTATCAACGTCGTCAACTCGGCGCTTGTTGATAAAGCGAATCTTGTCTTGATGCTCCGGCGGGATGGCAGTCCCATTCTTCAAGGTCTGGTGCCAGACTTGCGAGCACGTCAGGTCGCTGCCCAGCTCGAGGCGACGGGCGTTGTTGCAGAGAGCTACGCGGCCTTTTTTGGCGATAGAGCACGCCTTGCAGAAGTAGCTGCTCTCAAAGCTTCGGGTTCCAGGCCCCGCGAGCGCCGAACATACTTTACACAGCCACTGCCGTGTCTTGCCGCCGTTCTTCTCCCTAGTCTTCTGCAGAATGTGTGGAAGCTGGGATGCTGGTGCGGTCATGAGTTCTTGTCCGTCTTGACCTGCAGCGAAGTCGTCTTTGGTTTGGGACAGCAGCTCTACGTGCAGGTGTCGCATGAACTCTGCGTGTGTTGGGACGCGTTTGTCACCCCTCTTCATCGCAATCTTGTGCACAATGAATGCGTTGACTAACGCGATGTCAACGAGCCCCAAGAAATAGTTTTGTAGTATTTCTTCATCCGCAGAGACCGTTGAATGGAGTAACGCTGCAAGCGCAGCTGGTCGTGGACGTCCACG